CTGCAGCCGCTGATGAGCTCTTTGACGGAGATCCCTTGCCACGACTGTGGCGATCCTGGGTTCTTTCAGAAAGCATACGGCGTACTTGGCTTCTGGCAACTTCGACGATAGGAGTCTATCTCACGATGCGGCAGTCCTGGGCAGAGTGTCAGGGTGGCATTCAGTTTTCAACCCGTGCAACCCTCTGGGACGCAGAATCTGCATCCAGTTGGGCAAAAAGGTGTCAAAATGATGATCCGCTGTTCATTTGTAGCCTAGATGGCGAAAGTCTACTCCGCACTTCAAAGGCTGTTGAGGTGGACGAAATGGCTAGAAATCTATTCACTGTCATGTGGGGAGCCGAAAGGGTTGAGGCGTGGATCTCTAGGACAGCAAGTGATAAAGATGGTGTGCGTGTCTCCTATTGATCTCGAGTAGACCAGTATCTCAGAGAAGCAAAGATTCACTGTTACCGGAGCAACATGCTTCATTCTGCCAAGTCCAGTTGGCACAAGTTCAAGGAACCCTATGAGCCTAGGCCAGGCTTTGACACACTTGGTGAAAAAACACTCGAAGTCACACAAGTTTTATCCACAACAAATGTTAGCTTCTAACTGCTGATCAATTCCTCTTCTGCTGCTGTTAGCACATGTCAGTTCGCCTTGATATAGAGGGCATCAGGCAGTCCCAAAGAGCGTATTCTTCAAGCAAATAGTGGCAATAAACACCAATAGCGTACAGAAGGTTTCAATCAAAAATGCAACCAATCAAGCAAGATTCAGCGGTCTCGCGGACTAATATCAGCCGCGGTGGACACACCGTCACATGTCAACACCGGCATTGATAAACCCCGTCGGGGAAACTTGGAGTAGCATGTGCCGGGCGCAACACGTCACCATCTCGGAACCTTTTGCCGACAGGGATATGGACAGGCCAGGGGTCCGGCGCCTCAATCACACCAGGTCAGGCAGGCCCAACGGAGTCTCACACTCTTGTTTGTTATCCCTTATATCCGTCTGACGCCCAGGTATTTCTGTTCCGAAGCTCCCGGTCTCTTCCTTTTCCACTGCACAACCACCAGGTCCGAGATATCCGAAAGAGGCTTGCATTGCTCTTGATATGGGCCATCACTGCCTATCAGCAGCAGAATGCAACCATCCACTGCACGTATTTTCGGTGGCCAACATTTCAGCTCACCCTTGAACCGCGAATCGGCATGCGCATGTTCACTTTTCGACATTCGGTAGGTAATTTGCCAGAGTGCCCGTTTCAAGTTCGCATGAGAAGTGATTCTAATGACCAGATTTTAGACTTGAAAGAGATGTCATTGTCTTTCGAGGTGGCCAAGATGAATCCACTGATCAAATTCTGAAAGGAGCTGTGGTACTCTGTCTGAAATCACCACTAAAAGTCGAAACAATTCAGCTTTGCTTCATCGGTACTCTTCGCCAGTCGTAAGTAATACAGAGCTCATATGCCAAGCCCTGAGCCTGAGAAATTGCATGAGAAAATTGAGCTAACTATCAGAAGATGGACGTCGGACCCGGGCATAGCTCATAGCAATGCCATTCTCATGCACAGGTGGCCTCCGTTTGTGAGGGCGGATGACAAAAACACGGCCTTACCAGCTGGAAACTACGAATGGCCCTTTGAGTATGTCATCCCAAGTGGCACTGCTGAGACCGTGGAGGGGATGTCTGAAGCCAGCATCATTTATAGCCTCGAGGCTACCATGAACCGAAGCAAACTAATCCGCCATCAACACGCTCGAAAGCGAGTTCGCATAATCCGGACATTACCTCTCACTGCTCTGGAGTTCGTACACACGATGCGAATCGAAAATCTCTGGGTTGATAAAATTGACTACTCAGTAACTATACCTACAAAGGCTATAGTACTTGGGGGCTCGACCATTCTGGACATGCGGTTTACGCCTCTTGCCAAAGGTCTCGTGTTAGGATGCATCGAGGTTGCTCTGTGGGAACTATGCGAGTTTTCAGCTCAAAGCCGGCATCGAATTTATTCAAGGGATCACCAGGTCCAGCGGATTGTCAAACGCTGGGAATTTGACGCTACTGATCAGGATTGGCAAGACTGCATTGAGGAGACCGGAGAGGAAGGTTGGGTCATGGCGAGGACGCTTGACATCCCAAAGAGGCTTTGCGACTGCATCCAAGACTTGGAGGTACAAGGCATCAAGGTTAAGCACAAGATCAAGGTGTTTATCCCACTGCGAAACTTGGATGGACATATGTCGAAAGTGAGTAACGCTTGACATGGTTAACAAGGGATTCACTAACCTTTGAAGCTCGATATGGCATTACCCGTTCACGTCTTTATCTCTCCAAATATGCCTCCAGACGAAGAAGGTAATATTGGCAGCCACATGACAGCCTTGACAGGGCAACCAGGCTTGATGCCTACGATTGATGTTCCACCGGAGTATGGAGAGCATGTACTCGACCAAGTGTTTAACCATAGAGGTGGCTGGCAACACACTACATCTCAACTAGATTCGAGTGCCCCGGCGTTCTCCTCGTCTCGTGCAAATACGCCACGGCGACTTGCATCAGCAACTGGCAGTCAAGCGAGCTCCAGCACCTCCTCAACATCACAACCCGCCGCTACTGATATAGCAGCGTATATCTCTTCCGAAACTGCTGATGAATCCACCGAACTGGCTGAGTTAAGCAGAGTCCCTACATATGGGACAGCGGTGCGGAGCCCCTTACGCTCCCATGTAGAACCTGGAGACGCCCTCCTCCCTGATTACATGACAGTAGTTTCAGGCAGAGAAAACGAGATTCATTGTTAACATGTCACCGAGTGTAATTTGTTTTTGTGCCAAAAGTTTGTTGATGGTCGCTTCATCTCTAATAATAGCGATAATCCCATAGAATATGTGTTAATGCTATCAGTTACCCAAATACAAAGATACTACCAAACGCTTTCTAGCCCATTGACTCCAATGGGCTTGTCGGCCAATGTAGTGATTCTGAATCCATGGCGCAATCCTTCTTGTGGATTGTGCACATTATAGTCATTAACAGCTGTGTGAGCAGTAACTCTGTTGTCCCATAGTGCAACAGTTCCTTCTTCCCACCTTACTCGAGCCTGGAAGTCCTGCCCTTGTGCAATATGCTGTTTGGAAGATTTTTCTCAGCTATTTACTTGGCAGAAATATGGGAGTGACGACGCACCTTGAACAGAATCTTCAGCAATCCGTCGGATTCCTCTTGTTTGAGTCCTATGATGCGCTTAGTGAAGCCGGGCTGGATAAATAACGCCTTCTGTCCAGTGGCCTAATCATCGTTCAGCACCTTGACATTGCATGTGATATCGGTTGGTGATCTTACCGGATGGATCCTCACAATAGGATGCTCGCTCTTCACAGGCTGCCGTCTCACATGCCGGCCATCTCGGCGGGCCTTTTCTGCCTGCGGATATCCGCTATGTTCGGCGCGCAAACCTTCTAGTAGTGTCTTGATCGGGGTGCTCAGTCTAGCATACGCAGCAGTTTGGCTTGCCCAAATCGTATCTCCACCCGAAGGAGGTACAGACAGCAAAGTGAGGATGGTGATACCTGGTGGCTGGTGCTCATATGACACATCAGAGTGATAGCCTATAGTAGACAATTTGTCAAGCTTGCTCTCATTCCGATACTCATTGTCTGGGCCAAGATAAATATTGTGAAACTCCAGATGGTCTTTGATATGAGCTCCAGTTGGCTGTAAAACACCTTTCGTTAGTCATCCATCCCAACCTCTGGGTAGGTAGGTAGGTAATGAAAGGCATGTCACTTACATGGATATGCAGAGGACCAAAGTAACGACCAAATTCCTTCTGCTTCTGAATGCCGATATCCTTGAAATCTTGGTCACGGAACACAACGACACCACGCTCTGCAATCAAGAGGGCCAGCTCGTCTTTTTGCAGATCATTCAACTGGGACAGCTGGAGGCCACAGATCTCAGTTCCGATAACAGGCGTGATCTTGGAAGCATGGATGTCGGAATTATTTTCCGGGAAGAGATTGGATTTGGCCTTATTCGCAACCAGTCCACGGTCGTCGAACTCAAATGGTTGGAGTGGTGGAAATGCGGTTGTCTCATCGTACACCGGGAGATAAGCGCCATATTTGTACTCGCTTCGAATCAGCGACACAGAGTAGCCATGGGCTGAATTGACCTTACCTGGTTATGAAGGGTGGTGTCAAAGGCCAACTTGACTGTGGTGGTCGAGCCTGAGGTTTGGGTGGTGGTGGTGGTAGACATGGCAACTGTAGCAAAGGAAATAGAGCGTACACAATGGATCAACATCTAACACCTAAGTTCAAGGGATTCGAGGCATATTAGTACTTCCCTTATTACCACTTCCCCAGAATCACGTTCTGCTACAGCTATCACGTCAGTTTGCGGAGTATTCATGACATCCTCCTCCAGACCTATGGGGTTGAAGCGGAAATGCAGCAGACAAGAAGCGTGCGGTCACACAATTTTAGCGTCTGAATAACGAACTCCTGTACTTTGTCCACCTGCCTTGGCTTACTGATCTACAAGAGGTCTACCTGTATTTGGAGTCCATCACTTGAGTTGATGACATCGCAACGCGGGCGCACGCCATCTTCCAAAATCGTTGTCCAATCAAGAGCACATTCGCTATACCATACGAGATAAAAATACGTTTCGGAGAAGATGCATGCTTGTAATATCAGTGGTTCTATTGGGCATAGTCACATTGTGTGGTGATACCCAACCCCGCCAACAGGAGGGTATTTGCCTAAGTAAATTAAGGCGACTTCTCATTCCTTCCCACCGTATCTTTGTCATCAAGATATCTAATGGCTCAGAACTATCACGCAAAAGACTTTTACGGCCTACCGTGCATTCGTGTCAGATGTAGTTATTCGGATGTTGAACGAAAAGGAGGTGAGTTAGGGGCAGCATTTGAAGAGAGGCCAATTCGCCAACCCGAACGCCGGCAACACTTGACCATCATAACTTTGTGCTTAGTCATAAAAAGCCGCGTTGGCTCAGTGGTAGAGCGTATCACTAGTACTCCTAGTACAAAAGACATGATAAGGTCCAAGGTTCGATCCCTTGACGTGGCATTGTGTAATTCGGGTGTTCCAACCCCTGTTCTTTCTTTCTTTTTGCCAATTGCGAAAATTTCCTTTATCCAGAGTTCTTAAAGAAAGTAGCAAGCAGCATATCCTCGGTAACTTCTTCTCTTTTTCTCCTAGAAGTAATTATGTACGTACTAAACTGTCACCGGCTCAAGACGTGCCATGATAGCAACGACCGTTCTTGAAGTTTCTTGTGAGCTCGAAGGTGAGCAGGCCTTTTACTTATGCTCTTTCTCTATTTCATCCCGCTACTTACACCAAATAGTGCGCAGTCTCAAGTTGCGATTCTTCTATTACGACACTTTGCGGAGGCGGCATGTCTTCTCGCGAGCAAGCTTTTAGCGTCAATATGTCCCATTTACTCACCATATCAAGAAATACCATACCGATTCTCCTCGAGAGATCCTTTGCTAAGCAGCCAGGGCAGCATGCCTGGTGATGTGGACTTGAAGCCGGAAGAAACCACTAGGTTGCACAATCAAGGAGGGTATCAAGCTTTGCAAGTACATGGCAATAACAGCACAGCACAGTCAAATTTTATGAATATCATCCAATTATGAGTATTATATTGTAC